CCACTCATGTTATCACTCCTACACACAATTCCTGTACACCATATAAGCTGTTCAAAATGTGCGGCGTTTCACATATTTATTATTAAATTTTGATACTTTGATTGAAGAAGGAGTGTTGGATTTTTTATCGGATGTGTAAACTTTTTAACGCAGGAAGTTTTCACCTTAGTCCTGCATTTTGCATATTCTAAACAACTAACTTTGAGAATATCTTAACTGAGTTTTCGCTTGTTTGTATGTTTCTATTTTATAATAATTTATTACTCTCAGATTCAAGATTCAACGAGTTTTCTAAAGATGTTTAGTAAGACTGTAATGCTAGTTTTAACGATAGTCAGCATGTCATAAGACAGGTAATAGGTATTGAATTGTAAGGCACATCATAATATTTGAAATACTATAAATATCGCCTGAAACCAAGTTTAACTGAAGTCACGTTTCGTTGAATCACCTTAAGTTTTCACCATATAACTACATGCATCTAAATACATCCCGATTAAGGACCGAGCCAGATTAAAAGGGTTTGAAAATACGCATCCTTATAAGACTTCTCTAACAAAAACATATTTAAGTTTTTAATTTTTTTATAATTCTGTGGTTCACTTTTAAGAACGTAGTTGAAAAAATAACGCTGTGCTCTATATGTTTTGCAAACTGAGCATTTTTGGTATGCCATACTTTTTCTAAAACATTTAATTGAAATAGACACAAATAAAGTAATTATTTTTCTATTAGTAAGAACAATACAATAGCGACACATATCTTCTCTGTAAACGTTTTAATGGGATGGTTTGTAACGTTTTCCATAGCATATCTCAACTAAAATTTAGTTTCAATTACTTTTTGAAGGTGTTCATATCATGTTTACACATAAAGCTGAATTTAAGGAAGCAAACCTTTTACTTTTGAAACTATTAGCATTTTTATACGAGTATATTTCTCCATATCAAACTACTAAACACCTATAACAAGGTGAACTTTTCCAAATGAAGATATGAAACTCTTATAAGAAAGTGAGGTTTTTCGGATGAAACTACGAAACTCCTATAAGAGCGTGAACTTTTCCAGAGGAAACTATCAAAGTCCCAAAAGAAAGTGAAATTTTCCAGAGGAAACTATCAAAGTCCCACAAGAGAGTGAACTTGTACAGATGGTAAAGGAAAATGGTTTAAGAGAATATATCATTTCATCTGAAAGGTTTTTATTTTATCTAGCCTTTACTGACACTAGCAACTATTACACAGTTGTCATGAGGTCAAAGTCTAGCTTTCAAAGTCTAGCAAAGTCTAAGTTCACGAGTTTGAAATATTTTAATAAGTAATTCTCAATGATCTTTAACACTAACATAAATATATTTTGGTGAAATTCAAAATTGTTCTCAAAAAGAACATAACATTTGAGGCGTTGAAGCATCCAGTTACGCCTAGAAAGAAAGTTAAACGAACCTGGCTAGCGAAAATGACAGTGTAATGAGACCTAACATTTCTTTAAAAATACATTAATACTTTTGAAAAGGGGTTAAGGACTTCATTGGGTACATCAAGTCTATCAAAAACCACAGTAACAATCAGTGTGACTTATAGAGCAACCACGATTCCAAATTCCAGAACGCTGTTTATGAGGTAATAGATCGCGAACCATGAACCCTCAAATTTACAGTTCGAGCACCGTAACTCTGGGCCACGCTCTACAAAGACTTGTTTCCACTTTGAAAGAACTTAGAAGCTTCTGGTCAAGTTAAAAAAAACTTGTTACGTGCTGAAAAATGTCTCTCAAATCTGTGTCATTTATTTATATATAGAACAGTAGTCTGTTATTTTCGCGATATGTTTTTCTGAAATTCTTTGTGTTCTGTATGAAACAAAACGTTCTAAAAACTTTCTTAGTTTGTCGTAAGGAAGAGATAACCGATTTAAGTGAAAAGCAACCAATTACGTAATGTCTGTCCAGAAACAAAATAAAAACCTTTTAGCGCTGATTTACCTATAATGATGAAACGGTGATCCAAATAACCTGACTTTTTTCCGTACTAATAGGTCACGCCTTTTTTGTTATTTTTTACTAAATGACATAACCTTTTCAGGCTGCAATGATGTTTTTCGGTTTTGTTAATAGTAGAGATTCTAGGATTACTACAATTTAAAAACGGCCACCTTTGTTCTAACATGTTCATGAAACTGATAATTATTCTTGTACGTGTAAAAGCTTTATAAACTTCGGGTTAGTTCTAAGTACAGTGTTGATTGGCATGCGTATTTTGACGGAAAACGTTATGTATCAAGCACCTATAAATATAAACAAATAAGCACCATTGAATTTAGTAACAGACACACTGAAGCACAATTTCTGTCGAGTAATAAATATTTGATAAGGAACTCGTGTAAACATCGCTTTATGTGAAGTTAAAATAAATTTATACATAATGTTTTCAACCAAATTACGCATATGAATCATCGCTGTATTTGAAACTAGTCTAAAGTTTTACGTGATTCATACTGAAAACAGCAGTGTTTTCACGTTATTTCTTCATGAATACAGCGATAATTCTACTTTGTTTCTTTCCGAATGCAAAGGTATTTCAAAGTTGCTTTTGACCGAATACAGCGATGATTCTACGCTGTTTTCTGCCAAATATGGCAATGATTCCAATACAATTGTGTTTCGTGTTGTTTCATACCCCGAATGCAGCTCTTATAACGCACACACAACATAAAGTGCGTGGGATATTTTGTGGTATCACACAGATTCAAAGTTGGCTTGTCTGTTTCCAAAATCTTTAACTATCACAGGGCCAACCTGTACCCCATTAAAAGTCAATGAAAGCCATGATTAGAATTTTTTTTCAAAACGAACTCGCTGTTAGTAACAAAAACAATTCCAGTTCATCAGATTGATTCAGAGAAACTTAACGAGTGAAAAGTGAAATATTTTAATATGCTAATAATATATGAGCTTGAATCATGCCAGTATATGATACATCTTTGAGCGACAACTTCTGGCACGAAACGGGGATTTTCTGTCTTTTTGCCAAAAAATATTTTAGCAGTAAAATTTAATAGCAATAATATTTGACTTTTGTAATAAATATATTTACCTTTTATTTCATTGTTATCTCTTATTATAAGTTGATAAAAGACGCAAGATGATGATATTTAAATGTATCTTTGAGCAAGACTTTCCATCTGCACGTATTTCAGAATAAAAATCAACAACAATAAATATTCTTGTTCAGGTGGAGAGAAAGAGCTTCTGTATTTTTCTTTTTAAAATGTAAAGAGAAGAAAAGCAAGAAATACATTTGCTAGAAAACCATGGAACCAACTGATGTTATTTTGTTTCAACTCCTGACAATGTAACATTAAGCATTATTAAAACTGGACGTACAGTTGATAGACTTTGTTGTGTTGCTATTGTTAGACAATAGGAAATTGTATTGCTATGTTGGAAAGTAGCAAGTTGTGTTGTTGTTTGTTAACAAAAGCAAATTGTGTTTTGTAAAAAAAATAGCAAATTGTGCGAACAACTGAAACTAACGAACAAAACAAAAATATTAAAGTTAATTTTCAAAAATTTGTTAACGGATTTGGAAGTGAAAAATAGCGTATCTGAGCATATCGACTGTATGGGATATATTTTTTTACTGTATGTAGAATTACTGAGATAAGTAAATTTGAATTTAGAGAAATTATATAATTGCATTAGAATTAATTGTTTGTTTTGAATTTTGCGCAAAGCTACACGAAGGCTATCTGCGCTAGCCATCCCTAATTTAGCAGTGTAAGACTAGAGGGAAGGCAGCTAGTAATCACCACCCACCGCCAACTCTTGGGCTACTCTTTTACCAACGAATAGTGGGATTGACCGTCACATCATAACGCCTTCACGGCTCAAAGGGCGAGTATGTTTGGTGTGACGGGGATTCGAACCCGCGACCCGAAGATTGCGAGTCGCTGAGTCTTGAACATTTCATTAATTATTATTTTTTAATTATGAATCTATTTTACTGACTAAATCACTTGTTTTTTCAGGATGCGACAGACTACTTCTTACATGCATAAACTGATTAGACTTTATCTTTTTCTATTTCCATCTGGAGAAGGAGTGATTTCCCTAGGTGCCTCGTAGACAGAGTAAATACACGCAGAGTCTACTAAGTACGCCAAAAGCCTGTTATTTTATAATCATTAATATGGTTATTTTGACTAAAATATCTGATTAAATGTTTACTCGAATAAATAACTCATGCACACTGCAGGTCGGCGTTGTTCATGTTTAGTCGCTCTCGATATCTTATTCTGCCCGTAAAAGTCATCTCAGCATGTATACATATATAGTAAAAATAGAAACAGGAAAATAAGAATGACAATTTGAGGATAGGTTCTGGTGCGCATGTCTGAATATAAAACTCGTTCGCTGATTGAGGTAATAGCTGACGGTCAAACGAGATTTAAGCACTACTTTAGAGTATGTGTCCGTTTTATTAGCTGGCACAGCAGTTTCTCTTGAAAAAATCACATTACGACATTTCATTGAAAACGAAACTGTGGTTGGAAGTCATTTTATGCTTCTTGTGATAGTTAATAGCCTAATTTCATTGTAAATTACTACACCTTAGTAGAGGTGTGAATAATAATAAACACACGTGAAATGAGCAGTGTGAGGTAGTCAGACGGAATATTTACAATGATAATTAGGTGCTATCATGCAGTTATTTGGAAAAAAATACATATATCGTTTATTTTGATAATTTGTATATTTGTTATTTGATTTCTGTTTGTTTTCTTAAAGTGCGAACTTATGATTAGCGTATTCTGTTCAAACTTTTTTGTGTTGATTTACATATCTCACATACAGTACCATTTTATGTACTTATATATATATATATATATCTTTTGCCACATCACGTTTTCAATGAATTTTAATTACTCAAGCATACGAAAATTGTTCATTGTTTTCATATTCTTTATTCTATACATTTTTATGTTTTATTGTTTGTATTTTTCAGTCATTGATCAAAAGTACTTCTATATAATAATAAGCTTTCCCTGTTCTTCATCTGGTCCTCTTTACTATTATCCCAAACCAAAACTGTACTCTCGATCCATGCGTTTTCCTAAACCAAAATGAAATCTTCGTTTAATAAAATCCTCGTACTTTTGTAATATTCCAACTTTTAAGGAAGTGCGCTTTCCAAGACCAAAGTTAAACTGTTTTTCTCCTCGTTTTCCAAAAGAAAATCGGTCCACTGCCCCTTTTCTCGTGCCTAGTCCAAAAACGTAAATGATGCTGCATTTGTCATCCAAATTATTAGTATCGGGTACAAAGTGCTTTCCTAAGCTAAGAGCGAAGTGCTGAGGAACCCTTTTATATGTCAGGAAAGTGTTTAAGCGTTCAGGAGAATCCGATAAAACTTTGCCTGGAGAGGCCAAAGAATCTCTTTTACCAAAACCAAAGCTATACATTTGATCAGCTCGCTTGGCTTTCAGGTAGTCAGATTGATAAATATCCTGAACCTCCTTCTTCTCCGTGTAACCAGGTTCCAGTATGTTGTATCTCTCTTCGAATGATGAGATAGTGGTCAACTGGGCCATCCATAAAGATGCCCAGATGACAAGGATCGCCCTTGATACTCTAAAGAAAATAGAAAGAAAATTATGAACATTTCAAGAAAATACCGCACATATATAAAATATAATGAAAAATAATATTGTTGAATAAATGCAAGTGAAACTTATCCCAACTGTATTACAGTAACGCACTTTCCACATACTATGCATGCAAGTGAAAACTTATCCCAACTGTATTACAGTAACGCACTTTCCACATACTATGCATGCAAGTGAAAACTTATCCCAACTGTATTAAAGTAACGCACTTTCCACATACTATGCATGCAAGTGAAAACTTATTCCAGCTCTATTACAAAAACACACATTATTCATAGAAAGGTTTAAGATTGTTTTTATTTGGTACTCAGTTTTTATGACAAGTGAAACCTTAAGATTTGTTGAAAAGTCTAAGAAATACTTGAATTCTGCTGGAGAAGAACTCATATTAATCGCAGATAGTTACTATAAGCGTAGAATAACTCATGCTAATCAGGCTATTATGTCGTAATGAACGGTGTTTTGGTGGTGAGAAATTCAAAGAAGCGTTACATTAAGAACGGAAATACCTTATTATTTTGGTCAAGTTTTAAAGTTATTTCCATCTTGCTATTATTTGAACACCACAATAATTGCCATTTTATGCATTTCATATCTATAAATGATTAATGTAAATGACATTTTAACTAAAACTAGAGATAGTCCGTCTGATAAACCTTTGTCAACTACAAAATACAGTTTAACTGAAATCCCATTAATTCTAGCGTTGCCTGATGTTTCATGATGATTTCCTGATCTTTAATTGTTTTGAAGATTCCTGTACTTCTCAAACATAAATGACGTAAAATTAAATTCTTAAATAAATAATCAGGGAGGATAAAGAATGTGGTTGATTAGATTCAGGAAACAAGAGATTATCTGGTTGATGTACAAATACTTTTGGTTCAAGCTCCAGTAAAATCAATTACAATGATAAAGAAGGGCATAAAAGATACCTAGGAAGTCGAAAACGTTATAAATGATTAATTCTATTCCAGGAACAGACTTTCAAGACAATCGTCGAGAAGAACTTTTTTTTTTTCATTTACGCATGCGTAACAGCATTTAGAATGCGTTTGTGTGTGTGTATTTTTATAGCAAAGCCACATCGGACTCTCTGCTGTGTCCACAGAGTGAAATCGAACCCCTAATTTTAACGCTGTAAATTCGGAGGCTTATCGCTTTCCCATCTGGATACAGCCATTTAAAGACATAAAAATCTAATGTTGTTTGAAGATTTTTGTTCTGTTGCTTGCATTGAAAAAAATGTATTTGAAAAGTAAATTTTTGTTATTTTCATAGTTAATAATCGTATAACCCACACGGTTTCCTTTCCATTTCTTTTATAATGAAAAATTATATAAACCACACGGTTTCCTTTCCATTTCTTTTATAATGAAAAATTATATGAACCACACGGTTTCCTTTCCATTTGTTTTATAATAAAAAATTATATAAACCACACGGTTTCCTTTCCATTTGCTTTATAATGAAAAATTATATGAACCACACGGTTTCCTTCCCATTGTTTTATAATAAAAAAATATATAAACCACACGGTTTCTTTTTCATTTGTTTTATAATAAAAAATTATATAAACCACACGGTTTCCTTTCCATTTGTTTTATAATAAAAAATTATATAAACCACACGGTTTCCTTCCCATTTGTTTTATAATAAAAATTATATAAACCACACGGTTTCCTTTCCATTTGTTGTATAATAAAGAATTATATGAACCACGCGGTTTCCTTCTATTTGTTTTATAATGAAAAATTATATAAACCACACGGTTTAATTTTCAATGAGAAATCGTCAACTGAGAAAACAGATAGAAGTTGACAGTAAGTAGGCATCATTCCTTAGTGAATGATGTAGCCGTTATAATAGAAAGGTTCAAAAAACAAATGTGGAAATTCTCCAGAGACTAAGAATTATCAACATCTAAGGTAATGTGGCTAACATTGATACACATTGAATAATATGATTTATTCAAAATTGTCTCAAACTCTTCCTACGATACAATATTAAGACATTCAGGTTATCCAAGTTATAATGCCAGGAAAGCGCACCACTCCCTCTCTGATGGTTCAACGGTAAAGTGGAGGGCTTATAACACCAGATTCGAGAGTTGATCCCTGCAGTGGGCACAACACAGATAGCAATTATGCAGCTTTGAGCTTAACAACAAACACAGACGCTAAGACAAAGGAAAATAACTAAGTTTCCCTTTCATCAAACATCGTTTCTTCTCATCTATACCTACTAAGTAATACCTGTTTAATTCTATCATCCAAATCTACTAAGTAATACCTGTTTAATTCTATCATCCAAATCTACTAAGTAATGCCTGTTTAATTCTATCATCCAAATCTACTAGGTAATGCCTGTTTAATTCTATCATCCATACCTATTTAGTAATATCTGTTTAATTCTATCATCCAAATCTACTAAGTAATGCCTGTTTAATTCTATCATCCATACCTATTTAGTAATATCTGTTTAATTCTATCATCCAAATCTACTAAGTAATGCCGGTTTAATTCTATCATCCATACCTATTTAGTAATATCTGTTTAATTCTATCATCCAAATCTACTAAGTAATACCTGTTTAATTCTATCATCCAAATCTACTAAGTAATGCCTGTTTAATTCTATCATCCATACCTACTAAGTAATGCCTGTTTAATTCTATCATCCATATTTACTGGGTAATATCTGTTTCATTCTATCATCCATACCTACTAAGTAATATCTGTTTAATTCTATCATCCATACCTACTAAGTAATGTATGTTTTATTCTATCATCCGTAGCTACTAAGTAATGCCTGTTTTATTCTCTCATCCATACCTACTAAGTAATGCCTGTTTTATTCTCTCATCCATACCTACTAAGTAATGCCTGTTTTATTCTCTCATCCATACCTACTAAGTAATGCCTGTTTTATTCTCTCATCCATACCTACTAAGTAATACCTGTTTTATTCTATCATTCGTAGCTACTAAGTAATACCTGTTGACCTTAACTTCGCAATGCGAAGCTTTAGCCTTAGTGATAGGCTTCATTTTCAGTTAACTTATAAATTCCAACTCAGAAAATTTAGCATTAAGTTATGGAAGTATTACTTTTTTTGTAATGATTTCGCCACATTAAAAATTTATATATATATTATTATTATGATTAAGTATTACGTGAAATCAGGAAACATTGAAACATTCAAAGAATGAAGAAAATCTAATTTCAGTATTTTAAGTTTCCAGGTAAAAAATGTTGTACACACACACACACACACACATATATATATATATATCTTTTACGCTAAAGTGTCTTTATAATTAGTATAACTATGAAATCTAAGTTATGAAATATTTTTCAAAATGGTATATATATATATCGTTAAGCCTTTAACTGTTCTTTACTGTTCTAGGCATTCTCAAAGTTTAAAGTAGCATTTCGTATTCTCAACCTGAACGACAATTTATGTAACACGTAGTCTAAATGAGTAAGGCAGAGACCTAAAAACTTAAAACTTTCTAAACGACCAGATTAGATATCCCAAAACTCAGGTATATTATTAGTAGCCTTGACTTTCTAAACGACCAGATTAGATATCCCAAGACTCAGGCATATTATTAGTAGCCTTAACTTTCTAAACGACCATATTAGAGATCCCAAGACTCAGGGATATTATTAGTAGCCTTAACTTTCTAAACGACCAGATTAGAAATCCCAAGACTCAGGTATATTGTTAGTAGCCTTGACTTTCTAAATGGCCAAGTGAGAGGTATCAAGGTTGTTGTTAGTAACCTTAATATCTGAAACGTTTTTGGAAAAACACTGATTCATGAAAAAAAAAATCGCTTATGCCCTTGTGTTGGCAACAAAAGTAGAAAAAGAGAAGTGGAAATTTCTAACATCTGTGTTTCAATAACATAGGTATCAAATAGTATCATGGACACATTTATTTAAAACTATTTGTCACGAAAAAATAAAATAGAAATTAATTGATAGCGTTATATATTGTATTCAAGTAGAAAAGCGTATTTAAACGTTTACTGTATTTTGTTAGTTTGTTAAATTTTACTCAATCAGTCTAAAATGACCGAAGGAACTGTTATAGAACTACGCTCGAGCTCCGTGAAAACTATCAGCCTTAACGTTGGCCTGTCGTGTATGATTTCCAGTAGCCTTAAGGCTTCCTTGAAGTATTGAAGAACATACGTGTCCTTCTAACTTCATCCACTTAAAGGCATGTTATTCTAGTTTAATCATATAATGCCTTAAAGTATCTTAAGTAAAGATGGGGAGCAAAACTGTAAAACCCTGCTTAGAAGAAAGTGGCGTAAAGATAACGTTTGTTTGGTATTAAGCACAGTGGGCTATCTGTTTCGTGCCCATTACGAGTATCTAAACCCGGTTTTTAGCGGTTTTAGCCCTCAGACTATCAGCTGAGCCACTGAGGGCGAGTACGATTGGTAGCAAAACAGTGAAATCTTGCTTAAAACAACGTCGAATAAAGATGAAGAGAAAAATAGTAAAACCTTTCTTATAAAAAAAAAGAGTCGAATAAAGCTTTAACTTGAACAAAGTTATCTAAAGATGAGTGTTATATAATGAAATATTACACCTTGTTTAGAGCATTTGTAATAATTTGGAACTAACGAAACGTGTTCATAGAGTTTATATTTCTTCTTCTTGACTAAGAAATTGAAATAGTATTTGAAATAAGCATAAAAATTCGTAGTTGTTTCTGCCATTGTCGTCACTGAGAAGTTAATACTTTTTCATTGAATTAAAGTTAATTATTGCATGTAATGAAAGCTCTCAGCCAGCCTATGTAAGTGTAATATACTCATGGGACTGGTGTTTCGGTAATGGTCAGTAGTATATTTAATACGCTTAAACATGGCTAATGTTTTAATATTCAGTAAAAACATTTCACGAAAGTGTTATAAAACTGGAAACTTTTACATTACGAAGGGTATGCTATGACGTGATTTGTGTGCAGTAAACCTAAAGCCTGGCTAGTTAGTGTCGAATAAAATTAATCTGTACCTCACTGGTAACGTAGTTAGTATTAGCTTACAATCTTTATCAATTATTTCTAAGCAAATATCAATCAATTCAAATTTTATATAAGAGTACTTGGGATCGAATTGAGCCAAATTAAACTCTCTTAAATATTGTGTTCAAATGCCCTGAAATTCAAAGATTTTTAAACAAGTTCTTCGTTTCCTTAGGGATAACAAAATAAACTGAAAATATTTAATTTTATAGCACCCACTCTGGGTTTCTGTACAAACTGAGTTTGCTCAAGTATATCCGCTCTCCTGCCAGTTTCGCAAAACGATAAGAATTTGGTTTTTCTTTATTTAGTGGGTGTTTCTACGTTAGTTCTACATGCACCACTTTTATTACTTTTTTTACTTAAGTTGATAGTGTCAAATACAGATATACATTTATTATTTAATGTATAATTTATTTTATTTTACTTCTATCTTTACTGATTTTCTACTGTTGATCTGTCCTCGCTGTTGACAACGTTTTACTCCACACGTATTAAAAAAAAATACTTGTTTTATGTAATAAGACATGCTTTTTCGTTCTGTGGACTATTATTTTACAAGTACAATTAACCATATTTTTCGGCCATAATCCCAATTCATACAGGGTAAACATATTTTCAGGGACTGAGCAGTAATACCAAGCTATGAACTGCGGTTATATGTCCTAGGAAAAATTTGGTAGAAAGTAGAAGCTAAATATTTTTGCTCACAACGTAACATATCTTAACATATAGGAAACTTGTGACAATTAATTAGCTGACATCATGGTTGCGGAAAGAAAATAAATAGATATACAGCAAAAATATAATATTTTCTCTTCAAACTGCACTTGGATAGGAATAAAAAAAAAACACGATGTTTATTTTATATCGGATTTTACTATGGAATGTTATACACTCGTGTTAGGCTTATTGAGGATAGTCGTAAGTGATTTTGCTTTTGAAAATTTGTGATCCTCCCCTGGGTCGGCTGTAAGTTTATAGACTTACATCGCTGAAATTCCTGGGTTCGATTCCCCACGGTGATTAAGGCGCAAATAGTCATTTGTGTAACCTTGCGCTAAAACAAACAAACAAATCAAGACTGTAAAATTTAAAATATTACTATCTTTTTCTCAAGTTGAAAAAAATTCTGAATACTTTGACATAAAAATAATTCCTCTGTAGGTTTATAAATCAAATAATATTCTATACTCTTACTAGAATAAAGGCAAAGTAAAGTAATAACTAACTGTCAAATCTTAATAAGGATTACTTAGGTGAACTAACAAAAGATAAAGATTTAGACAAAGGACAATAATCCTCTAAGATCAATAAGAACATTTATTAGATTCATAAATACACTGAGAGAACATTTGTAAACAGTTATTACACAATAGGAATATAAAGTAATAAAAATGTAATAATTACTTTAACTATGGTAAGCATATAGTCAAAAAATAAACAAGAAACTTTTTCTTTATAAGTAATATTTTATTTGTTTAATTATTAATAAATGTTTTATTCCCTTTTGCGTTGCTTAAAATAATATTTCAGTAAAGTTGTAAGGATTTCCTTCGTTTTTTAAGATAAGTAGATGTAAAATATCATGTGTACAGCTGTGTTGGAAAAATTGAGTCGTTGACTCAGAAGCTGAAGCTAGTGCTTGATCCTGGTACGTGATATCTTTAGAAGCCAAAGACCGTTTGAAATACATAACCATCATACAAATACTGTAGTTGTCTTCAAGAAGAATTAAAAACAATGTCTTTGTTAGTGACTTTACCCGAATACAAAACTTGTCTTCTTTACTGCAAATTATTCTTTCTTTGTCTGAATTCCAGTGTTATATAAATCATACAACAAGCTTATTTAACTTTGAATTCGTGCCACAAAAAATGAGTGATTACTTCTACTTGATATGATAGCCTTTATCTAGAGATCGGTGATTCTTGTTACCTAATAACCTTCGTTTAGAGATCAGTGATTCTGTTTACTTGATGTGATAACCGTCATCTAGAGACGAGTTACTCTCTTTTATGACGTGATAACCTTCATTTAGAGACCACAGTTATCTTTACTTGATTGATAGCCTTTATCTAGAGATCAGTGATTCTTGTTACCTGATAACCTTCATTTAGAGATCAGTGATTCTGTTTACTTGATGTGATAACTTTCATCTAGAGACCAGTTATTCTCTTTTCTGACGTGATAACCTTCATTTAGAGACCACAGTTCTCTTTACATGATGTGATAACCTTCATCTAGAGATCAGGATTCTTGTTACCTGATAACCTTCATTTAGAGATCAGTAATTCTCTCTACTTGATTGATAACCTTCATCTAGAGATCAGGATTCTTGTTACCTGATAACCTTCATTTAGAGATCAGTAATTCTCCTTACTTGATTGATAACCTTCATCTAGAGACCAGTTATTCTCTTTTCTGACGTGATAACCTTCATTTTGAGGCCACAGTTCTCTTTACTTGATTGATAACCTTCATCTAGAGATCGGTGAATATTTTTCCTGACGTAATAACCTTCATTTAGAGACAAGTGATTATCTTTATTTGATGTGATAACCTTCTTCTAGAGAGAAGTGATACTCTTTCCTGACGTGATAACCTTCGACCAGTTATTTTCTCTTCTATTGTGATAACCTTAGTAACCACAGCTCTCTTTACTTGACTTGATAACCTTTATCACATCAATGATTATCCTTCCTGACATGATAAATTTCATCCAGAGACCAGTGGTTCTCTTTACTTGATGTGATAACCTTCATCTAGAGACAAGTGATTATCTTTTCTGACGTGATAACCTTCATCCAGAGACAAGTGATTTTCTTTAGTTGATGTAATAGCCTTCATACAGAGACAAGTGATTCTTTTTATTTGATGAATAACCTTCATCTAGAGAGAAGTGATACTCTTTCCTGACGTGATAACCTTCGACCAATTATTCTCTTTACTTGATGTGATAACCTTCATCTAGAGACAAGTGATTATCTTTTCTGACGTGATAACCTTCATTTAAAGACCACAGTTCTCTTTACTTAACTTAATAACCTTCATCTAGATATCAGCGATTATCTTTCCTGACGTGATAACCTTCATCCAGAGACAAGTGATTTTCTTTAGTTGATGTAATAGCCTTCATACAGAGACAAGTGATTTTTTTTATTTGATGAATAACCTTCATCTAGAGAGGAGTGATACTCTTTCCTGACGTGATAACCTTCGACCAATTATTCTCTTTACTGTTGTAATAGACTTCATTTAGAGACCACAGCTCTCTTTACTTGACTTGATAACCGTTATCACGTCAATGATTATCCTCCCTGACGTGATAACCTTCATCCAGAGACCAGTGGTTCTCTTTACTTGATGTGATAACCTTCATCTAGAGACAAGTGATTATCTTTCTTGACATGATAATCTTCATCCTGAGACAAGTGATTATCTTTCCTGTCTTGATAGCCTTCATCTACAGACCAGTCATTCTCTTTATTGATGATTTAACCTTCATCTAAGGACAAGTGATTATCTTTCTGCCGTGTTAACCTTCGTGTAGAGATCAGTTATTCTCTTTACTTGATGTGCTAACATTCCTATAGATATTACTGGCATTCTTTTTATCCTGTGATAACCTTAATCTAGAGTTGTTTGACTCCTTCTACTTTATGTAATAATATTTATATAGATCTATGACTACATATAACTGATCCCATTTTCTTGGTGTGATAATCTTCACTCTAGAGTTTACTTATTTCCTCTATTTCGTATAACAATTTTTGCTCTATAGATTAACCATTTTTACTCCTTGATATGATAATAATGATTTTAAATATAAAAATATGTTCCTTTTATATAACGATCATTATTCTAGTGATTATAAAAATATATTCTCTTTGATATAGTTATTTTCTTACCGGACTTTACCAAAACTTACCCTTGGTGCTATGATCTACGCTTCAATGTGCACATTTCATGACCTTTGTTGCGTTATGTGTTATAAAATTTTCAGCAAACTGACATTTTGATTTTAACCCCTGATCTACTAAGGTATATATAAAAGTATTGTTAAACTGATTTAAAGCGAACTAATTCACATTCCTTACTGCCCCCCCCCCCAAGTGGCACAGCGGTATATTTACGGACTTATAACGCTAGACACCGGGTTTCGATACCCGTGATTGGCAGTGCACAGATAGCCCATTGTGTAGCTTTGTACTTAACTCCAAACAATCAATCACATTCCTTACTGCTAAATTTCTTGAAGCTGTTTTCATTATAGAAAGTGTGGTATAGTAACGGGTGAAAACTGAATAGAAGAGAATAACTTGTTATATAAATTTATTCTTTCAAAACCCGAAGCAAGTGAGACTATATTATAACCTACCTGGAAAACATACTTCATGAAGCAGTATAAGAAACTTCTAGAGCAGTCTAGTCACACCACCAAGGAAGTCTGTCTTCTTCTGTCTAACTCTGGCGTGTGTGATCCTTTTATCTTGCCGCCTCTGCCCAATGACTGCCTTTCTGATGACGTCGTACATTAGAGCATCCAGTAAGTTATAAGTCCAACAGTATTTTTAAGTGAATGATAACCAATCACTGAAAACGTTTTTGATAACCTTGTTGTTTAATAATTCTAGTTTAGGCGTTTGGTATAGACATGACTCAGTTACAGTTCAACTCAGTATTAAAGACGGATAAAATACCTGCTGTTTTAATGTTTTTGGTATATTAACGTATTTGGTTTTGAGGAGCTGAGAAAAATATTTTAATTTGTTCCACGTGTTATGATATTAAATGTTTAAAGCACGCATGAGCAATCCAAAAAGTTTAAGGATTTCTGTAAAATTTGAAACAAATTAATACATCGAGATGCATCCAACGTTAGACTTATACAAATAACTTGTATTTATACATATACATTGATCGCAAAACTGTGAATAAGAAATATTTACATTGAATCAAAACTTTAAGAAAATATTTAAATATGATAAAATCCAGGGATATAAGACGACGAAATTATGTTTATGGTGTTTGACCTGTACTTTACTGACCACAGTGAATTTACACTGATATCGTGCTATAAATATGATCCATTGCGTGTGTGTGTGTGTACGTGTGTCTTAGCATCCAACATCAAGAGCTGGCTAGGTCGATTAAATAATGTTTTGTATTGTAACTGGAAACTGGTCGACGGTGTAAACGGGTTGTTTTGTTTTAGGATTTTTGCTCGAAAATAGGGATAAAAAACATCCTGAAATAGAGAAAATTTTCACCTTTTTATGAACTTTTGGCTCTACATTTTAAGACACAAGAAGTTAATCATTTAAATGAGTTAATTATTACATCCCACAAAGAAGGGTATGCAATTCGCATCAAACAATATCATTAGGGATTTAATAACAAAAGATGGAAGAAAGGGGAACATTATCTAATTTTTACTTCCTTAACGGGTACCTTCAGCTAATTTAAATAATGTGTAATATTAATGGTAATATGTTTTACCTAAATTATTAAGCAAACAAACTTTTTAAATTAAGATTGAGTTATTTCACCAAAATTATGAGTTTCGATGAGAAAGAAACAAAAATCCAAGACTCATGCAATTGACAATTGTCGTTGATTTAATCTGGTTGTAGGATGATAAGTACACTTATCGCTGATTTAAACCAGTTCCAGGATAACTAACATTAAGATGCAATTCACTTAGCAGCTTTATGTTAAAATGTTCAACGCCGAAATCTGATGAAGTAATGAAACTAGTACGCCTAATATTCATGATAAAAATCCCGCCAGATGCAGATCTTTTATTAATATTGTTCTTCATTTGAAATCCCTAATGAGCTGGTTAAGAGGAAAGTGGATAAGAATTTGCAATGTGCTGATTACGAGAAATGTGAATAAAAATATTCAATGGACTAGTTAATATGAATGTGGATAAGAATTTGCAATGTGCTGATTACGAGAAATGTGAATAAAATTCTGTAATGAACTGATTAAGTTTGTTTGTAGCTAAGCACAAAGCTACACAATGGGCTATTTGTGCTCTGCCCACCACGAGTATCGAAACCCGGTTTCTAGCGTTGTAAGTCCGCAGACATACCCCTGTGCCACTGGGGGGGGGGGCGATTAAAAGAAAGGTAAATAAAAAGCTGAAATGGGCTGTATAACGGAAATGTTAAAAAAATGCAATTAGCTGATTAAGAGGAAATCTGATTACAAATATATTATAAAATAGTTCAGAGGAATGTGAATACAGCTCTGTATTGGACTGTCTAAGAGGAATATGTACAAAATAATCGGCATTATAACTGATTTTATCGCGAACATTAGGCCTTCTCTAACTTTACTCCTAAATTTGAACATTATTTGTTTTGGACAATCGTGAATAGCTACACGAGGGCTACCTGCACTAGTTATTCCTTATTCTGAACTGATAAACTAGAGAGAAGACTAGCTAGTCAACAGCACCCACCGCCATCTGTTGGGCTACTGAATAATGGGAATTGGCCGTCATTCTTTTAGTGTATACACGCCCCAGAGTTCGATGCATGATCTTATTTTGCAATAAAGGATAATAAACCATGAACCCTCGCATCTATAGCCCGGCATGCTAGCAACTGGGTGTATTGGGTGATATAAGACCAACCAATGTCACCAAAACCATTGACCTTAAGATATAAAATATGATTTGGAAGATATTGTGAGAGAATAGTTAAAACAGTTAGTTTCTCAAATTACTCCTTAGTATTGTAATGTGTTTATAATATTGTTTTGTTTGTGAACTTCTACATATTCTTATCCTTTATCAAACTGAATTTAAAGAGTTTATAGTCAAAATATTATTTTGCAAAACGAAAAATGTAACAGAATATCGTTATGACTTATTTTTAAATGAATTACTGCTTTGGTGGCACAAATGTTTTTTGGTTTCTCAATGTAAGTTATCTATATAAATTATGAATTATGTTTAGTTAGTCTTACATAGCTAGGCCAAAATGCGTAGAAACTGACAGAAATATGGTTTTCAAAAAAGATTAGTATTACATAGCTAGGCCAAAATGCGTAGAAACAGAAAGAAATATGGTTTTCAAAAAATCGGAATAAGAGAGCTGTTTGTGGTTCTTGTAATCAGCGTCAGTTTTTTACGGTAGTGAACTTTAAAATAAGAGCTTACAGGTCTATAGGAAAAACACACACACAAGACGAGAACCTTCGCGTTTGTGCAGTTACTTAACAAACGTTGACTGAAATCTCTTACTACATAAACTATTTTTTTTTATCTTTATGGTTTTTTCGTACATTGTCAAACTAAGATTCCATTACAGCTTCTCTCTACACAAAATAGGATATATATACGATTGGTTGGAACACAAGAAACGTCCTAAATGTAAATGTCAATATGAAGATGTATCGTTTTGAGGTCTAGAGTTAGACATGAAAACATTTTTCGGTATTTTATGCTGGCAACGTTTATTTAAGTAATAAAAAAATATTAATATTGAAATATATGTACGGATGCTCGTAATAAAATGCATAAGTATTATATTAGTTTAAAAAAAAAAGATAAAGAATATATATATATAGCTATGTTAGTTTACGTTCGAAAAGTGAATCATCGAATCAGGAAATTGAAGAACAGAAAAGTAAAAGGACAAACTCAAAGAGATTCAGATATGCTCTATTTACTTTAGAGAGTACATAGAGAAGAGAGAACTATTCCCAAAATAGACTAGTTGGAATGTAAATGTCGAACATAGCAAGATATCAAATGATGCAAAAAATGGCCAAGTTTTATGCAATACGAAACGCTAATAAAACCGCTACAACTACCAATGACGATTCACCGTCATCCAAAGTTTTTAGTCATTGAAATAAAAATAAGCTAGAAACAGAGAGCATCGAAATGAGTAATGTACATATCTTGTTGCTGTGATATTGCATATTAGAACAAAGGAACCCTAAACAATGTGTGACATAAAGGATATCTCTAGTTTCTAATCAATACTTACAGTTCATTGAAAAATATATTATGTATTTAGCGTAGTGGTTTCGATTTACAGATTATTGATTTTCAAATAGTAATGAACTATAATACAACAACAAGAAGAAATAAAACTATGGGGTTAATTTGTAATTATTTTCGTGTAAATTTCCCAACTACTTAATATGTATGAGAACAAACACTATTATATTTTCTTACTATAGCTCCATTTTGTCAGTAGTTTTTCTACAAAGGAAGTACCAGACAATAAGTGTTGAATTCGAGACGTATTTAACAGTAAATGCTGAACTTGAGACGCATTTAATAGTAAATGATGAACTTGAGACGTATTTAATAGTAAATGATGAACTTGAGACGTATTTAATAGTAAATGATGAACTTGAGACTTATTTAACGGTAAATGTTGAACTTGAGACGAATTTAATAGTAAATGATGATGTTGAGAAGTATTTAGCAGTAAATATTGAATTAAGGCGTAATTAACAGTAAATGGTGAACTTGAGACGTAACATTATGTATTTTCAAGTAAAATTAACCAGATGCATATGTTAGCTACTCTTTTCCTGTCACACTGTCTACTTTAATGAGAATTTGGATGATCAATAAATTAAATACTACATCAAAATAACTTACTATATAATATGCTACAAGCTAATTGTGAAGAAAATGATTTTGGACTGAGCAGTGTTGTAACACTGGGGATTTCATTAATTAATTACGTGGTTAAGCTAAATGCTGACATTAGTTTCAGAATGGATGTATAATGTGGTCAAGAAGGACTGAATGTTACACTGTAATTTTATCATGGCTAATAACTGTCTTGTGATCACTGTAGAACTAATGTGTCTGTAAACATGTGAGTACAAATGGCTGAAAGAAAAATACATTATTAGTACCATGTTTCACTTGAATTTAATTGCGATGTATAGATCAAAATAACACAGTTGAGCGTGAAAGTTCAAATAAGTTTCAGTTACCTAAATTTAGGTTCAGTAGACGTTTGCTGACTGTTTAATTTAGGCTCCATTTGAAAGATTAGAAGCGTGTCCTTCACCCGTAGCATAGTCTCGTTTTCGGCTTTACTAATTATTTTGAACATACTGGGGGTAGAGACCACATTACATTCACCTAATACATGCCGAACAATGCCTGAACTGTCCTAGAACCTAGAATTAGACTGTTCCTTTAAACGATCTCTCAACCTTCTAACAGTCGATCCGGCGAAAGCACCTCCACACCTTAGGCAGCAGAATTCACAAATATACAAATAACACGTCACTGTTGAGAAAACTTGATACGATCCTTAAACCTAGAAAAAAAATGGATAATTGAACTTTACGTACAGATCATTTTCATCAGGTTTATTGTGTCAAGCTCATAACCAGCTTTGTGTAATATATATATATTCAGTGTACTTTGCGAATGGGTGCATTCTCACTCTTGATTACAGT